GCCGAGGGGCGGGGCCTGAGCCTGGGGGCGTGAACGCGGCGGGTGGGCGGGGCTACTCTAAACCTCGCCGGTTGGGGGCGCAGCCGGAAGGGACACAGTTAGGCTTTTTTCATCGGGGCCAAAGCGCCCTGGAAACTATTTTCAGGTTTGTCTTCGTGCCTTCCTGTACCTTCGAGTCTTCCTGCTGCACATCGGCACTATTTGCATAATAACATTGATGATAAAAAGTGTCTGTTGTCGGCCGTGGGAACCGCACCAGCGTCTCATCGGCGGGGTCAGACCAAAGCTGGGCTCAGCAAACTCTTGGGTTCCGGCTAAGAGAAGAATTCAGAGCCAAGAACCAAACTCGCTAGAGACGATCCATTGGAGCAAAGAGAAAGGACACTCGAAGGGAAATCTCGAGCGGCTGCTCAAAGAGCTGCCCTGGTGAATGGCTAGGATTCCTTTTAAACCCTGGGGGGGAGGGGGAGGAATTCACTGCTTTCTTCAGACTGACCTGTCCTTGCATGGAAGTTAGGTGGGGCTTTCCTCCAGCCCCTCTCCCTGTTGTCATCTATGGGTGGGGGTCTACCACCTGACTAACCAAGTGCAAGAGGACAAAAGGCCAGGGAAATCCCGCCCGCATGACCCGAGGCTCTCTAGGGTGGAGAGAGGGCCTCCGGCAATGCCTGCCATTCTAGGGTGGAGAGCAGTCCTAGGGGCATGGTCTTGATTATCTCCAATATCTGCGCTACCAGTTCTTTCTCATCACTAGGTGTCCAGGGGTTCCGCCCTGGTGACCTGTACCTGGCCCATCGTCCTTGCTCTGCTCCCATCTATCTACCTACAACATCCTAGCCTATCCTATATAATAAAACTGTAATATGCAAATCGACCAAACAGTGGAACGACTGGTTGCTATGATTTGCACTGACCACCAGGGGGCAGACGCTCAATGCAGGAGCTGCCCCCTGGTGGTCAGTGCGCTCCCACAGGGGGAGCTCTGCTCAGCCAGAAGCCGGGCTCACCTGGCCAGTGCTGCAGCAGTGGTGGAAGCCCCTCCTGCCACCTCTGCTGTAGGCGGGCAGTAAGGAGCAAGGGGTCCTGGACTGCAAGAGCCCCGACTGTGAGAGGGATGTCTGAGTGCTGGCTTAGGCCCAATCCCTGCCTAAGCTGGCAGTCAGACATCCCCCGAGGGGTCCTGGACTTCGAGATGACACAGGCTGGGCTGAGGGACATGCCCCCCCCCCACAAGTGTACGAATTTCGTACACAGAGCCTCTAGTCCAGTGATGGCGAACCTATGACACGCGTGTCAGAGGTGACACACAAACTCATTTTTTTGGTTGATTTTTCTTTGATAAATGGCATTTAAATATATAAAATAAATATCAAAAATATAAGTCTTTGTTTTACTATGGTTGCAAATATGAAAAAATTTCTATATGTGACACGGCACCAGAGTTAAGTTAGGGTTTTTCAAAATGCTGACACGCCGAGCTCAAAAGGTTCTCCATCACTGCTCTAGTCAGTACTAATAACACCAGTGGTACCCAGATCCCCTCATTCACCCAGCAAATATCCATCTAGGCCAGTGGTTCTCAACCTTGGCTGCACATTAGAAGCACCTGGGAATCTTTTTAAAATCCTGATTTCTGGGCCTCATCCTCCGGAAATTCTGTTTCTTTGTGGTGGGGTGGGGCCACAACATTAGTAACAAAGAAACAGCATTTCCGGAGTATGAGGCCCAGAAATCAGGATTTTAAAAAGATTCCCAGGTGCTTCTAATGTGCAGCCAAAGTTGGGAACCACTGATCTAGGCTTAACTTCACCAGGCATGTCATGTCACTCATTAGGTGCTGGAATACAGCTCAGTCAAACACCAAACCAGACCCGCCATTTCTTTCTTCTTTTTCTTCCTTTAGCTGCTCCACGCATCTTAGCTGCTCCGTGCATCCTAGCTGCGCCAGGATCCTAGCTGCCCATGCGGCCGCAGCTCATCGGTAAATGGAAGTATGATTCTTTACTCTTAAGGTTGGAGCCAAGAAGTTCACGGCAGTGGATGGAATGCACTTGCCCTCGCGCTGGGGAAAGTACTAATGATAACAAAGCACAGTGCCCCTGCCCCAGATGCTCGGTTCTGGGACGAGGGAGCACGGGGCTTCCCGCAGGAGACTCTCTGGCGGCCCCTAATGGCGAGGTGGGGGTAGCACCGTCAGACGAGGCCCCGCCCCCAGCCGACGCCCCTCCCACCAACCCGGCCTCTCGGGGGCCAGCCGAGAGGAGAGCCCAGATGGGTTCCGGTGCGCATGCGCACCACACGGGTCCTGCCGCCATTGGCCGCCGGCGAGGAGCGTCTCAATGACGCGACAGGAAAATACAGGAAGTGAGCCCTACGGAGGCCGCGGCGGGTCAGAAAGGGTCGGGTTTCGGCGCGAGGCGCGAGGCAGGGAACCTATTCGGGCAGCGCAGGGGGCGCGACGGCTCTCAGGACCCGCGGGGTGGGGGCGGCAGCATGGAGGAAG